CGTGAATTAAATCAACGAAGCTGCAAATTTCTAATGAGGAATTTGCGGCGTCGTTAACAATTAAATTTAAAGTATGAGAGGAACATGGGATATAAAACGCTCTCGAGTTTATATCTAAAATTTTTTTTTGAAGACCATTGCGTTTTCCTCTCATATTGGCCCCATTGTCGTATCCTTGACCTCGCATATCTTGAATATCTATATTTTGTTTATCTAAATAGTCTAATAAGAAATTTGTTAAACCATCACCAGTAGTATTTGTTATAGGACAGAATCCCAAAAAGTGTTCTTTTATTTCAACTGTAATTGATGCTTATGTCTGGTGTACAGTCTAATATGATTGAATAGTATTTACATAGACGCAAGGTATTAATAATTTTATTTTTTACATTTTGTCCTATTATATCTATAATTTCATTTTGTATTTTGTCACCTAGATAATGAGGCATGTATTCTTCATTTTTTATAATTCGATTTAAGTGTTCTGCCATAACACTGTCAAACTGGGCGACTGCTTCGACCATTTTTAAAAAGTTTCCATTATTGTTTTCAAATAATCTGTTATTATGTCCTCTTAAAGCTAAATTTTGTCCAGCTAAGAATTGAATGATGATTATAATACGTTCTATCACTTGTTTCCACCGTTTCTTTTCTAGGAATATTAAATTTTCATTAGGTTGATCAACCGTTTGCTTTTTTGTCATCGCTGTTTTTAGATCAGTCCATAATTTATAGCTTTTATAATGAAACGCACTTTTTTCATGCCGTTCCAAGTTTCTAGATAAATGTTGCCAATCGCTGTAGCCTGGAGAAGTATTAAATGCGTTGCTGTTGTTAACAAATATTTTGCAACAGAAACAATAAACCGAATTTTTTGTTTTAGAATACACTAACCAGCTTCTATGAATCGTTTCATTATTATTTAAAAGTCGGTAAAAATATTTTGTTGAAAACGATCTATTATTCTTATCTGGCGCCGGGGTGCGATGCACCCCTTGCACCCCCTGCACGGCGCGCCCTGAGTTTTAATATCAGTTTCATAGTGAGTTGCGACTGAAAGGTGTGACTTCTTAACTATAATTTATTTATTTATTTCATGTGGGTACAGAAACAGGTCGAACCCAATAATACTGTACCACAAACAACCAATTGTATACAAATAAAATAGAATTACAGTTCGCAATAATAATGAATTAACATTAATGGTACAAAAGTGATTCAAAAGGAAAAAAAAAACTAAAACTAAGTTTAGGTGATATAAATATATCATATATCAAATATCAAATGAACGCTCGAGGCAACACACCAACTGCAGCAAAGAGCAGTTTTTTAAATGCATAGAAAGAATGCTGAAACAGATCTATGTTAACACGATTTGCCGATCTTGCCATTCTTAATAAAGGAGAGTTTTGACAGGAGTAGGTGTCATAAATAGAAAGTCAAAACGAAGTAATCTCGGAGGAACATGAACACATATAGAACCAACAAGCATTGGAGAATCACACTTGTTGTTCAAAAGTTTGTAAAAATATAATATATCCCCACAAAAGCGACGCTGGTTGAGGGTTAACATACGAAAAGAAGTGCAAGTTGATTCGTAATCAATGTATTGAATGGAAAATTTAAAACAAAGGTATTTGAGGAATTTAGATTGAATACGCTCAATTCTAGATTTATACGAGAGATACTGAGGATTCCAAACGACGCTGCAGAAGTTAAGTGTGCTGTAAACATAGGCAAAATAGAGATTTCTAATTGCAGCAATGTTTGAAAAAGCTACCGTTGATCTCATAATAAATCCTAACATACGCCAGGCTTTGGAGACAACAGTATCGATATGTTTATCAAATAATAATTTATAATCAAATGTAACACCCAAATCTCTAATAAATGAGACACGTTGCAACCTCTCACCAGCGACGCTATAATTGTAGTGGATTGTGTTCACCCTCCTAGAGAAGGAAATAACATTACACTTTGATAAGTTTAATGAAAGGCGATTATTTAAGCAAAAAGCATGTAGATTGTTTAAGTCAGATTGCAGTTTAGAACAATCAAGAGGTGAGGAGATACGGAGAAAGAGTTTTAAATCGTCAGCATACATTAAACATTGGGCATAATTAACGACGTCAAATATGTCGTTAACATAAATATTAAACAGTAAAGGGCCCAGATGGCTACCCTGTGGAACACCAGAAGGAACCGACACAGGATTA